AACGCTCATATATATATATATATATGGACACATGTGTATATATATATATACATATATATATATATATATTTATACATACATACATGCATACATGCGTACATACACATACACACACATATACACATGGATAGGTAGATAGATACACAGGTAGATAGGTGGGTATATGTGTCTAGAACCCTTTCTCAACAAGTCAATTCAATAGTAATGGTGGGCCCTCTGCACAAGTTTTGATGATGACACCGCTGCCACATACTCGGGCTTCCGGGGTTCGTCAAGCTGGTGACCCAGGGTTCCAGGAAATTCGAGGCTTTGGCTTTGCTGGTTTGTGGGTGAAGTTTAGAGTTATTGACGGGTAGGGATGAGGGTTGTGATTCCAGGCTGCTTCCATCAAGAGTGTTCGGGCCTCAGGAGTTTCAAAGCTCCGAGTACAAATCCTTACCCTGTTACCCTCAGCCCTACACCCCGAACACCAAGCTTGAATCCTAAATCCTTGACTGTGCCAACAGTAAAAACCGAAATCCCCAAGCCTGCATGGAGGGTATTCAAGCAGTACGTGGCTTGCAGTCTTTTCGTGGCAGCTCGTGCTTCGATGCTTAGTTTGTACTCCCCTACTCCCCACGACATGCCCCAAAACCTCCTAAATTGAGGCTAGGAGTTTAGAGCTTTGGATGTCGGGCTTTTGCCTTAAACGCTTTGTAGCATTGGGATCTAAGGTAAGGGTTTACGGTTTCAGGGTCCGAAAGCCGAAGCTACAGCCGCAGCAGAGGTGGTCGCTTTAGGAGGTTTGGCTGCGCTGATGTTGCAGAGGCGCGATGTCGTACACGGAGGTGTTGAGCGAAAGTGTCCTTGCGTTCGTGAAGCGTGGAGGGAAGCAACCGCAACTGTTTGATTTGTATTGTAGGCTTGTCGAAATGAGAGCCGCTTTCTTGCTTGTCCAGAAGAGGATGTCACTCTTCTCCTAGCGGCTTAAGGTTCTAGTCCACATGCTCTTCTGCTGATATCAGCGACGTTATGCAAGAGCACTCTCCTGAAAAATCTTGTGAGACCTAGACACTAGGCCTCCACTGCTCAAGTCCTCGAACATAGCCAGAATCAGAACAGGCTCGTCCTCGAAGCCTTCTTATTTTGAAATTTGAACTCCATCTCCTCCGGAGGCATTAGCCAACTGGAACAAAAAACCCGAGGCCTGAACCCGTGAACTCCGATCCGCAAGCTTTGGTTAAGGATCCGATTCTTTCGGTTCCCTGCAATGGCTCCAGAAACCTGCAGTGCAAACTTGTGTTGATCTGCTGCTTTCGGCCCGCCTCCTACACCGATAAATCCCCAATCCGCGAGCAGGCGCCGGGGTGCCGTGCGGTGACAGCTAGCGCTGGCAGTCGTCTGAAGTTCAAAACGCAGGCACGCCGTCGGATGCAGAAGCTGGAGGGAGTCAGGAACCCGGCTATACCTCAAAACCCTAAATCCTAAAGATAAACCTACGAAGCCGAGAACTGTGAGCAACATCATACATGACCAGGAACCTACTGCACTATTTATGTAGCTGGAGCCCTGGGACTAGATTGTTCGTTGGAGAGTTTCAGGTTGTGGAGCTCTTAGAAGCAATACAGCCCTTGCCCTAAAGCCTGAAACCCTTCTCAGTCGCCTGCAGGCGCACCCGATGCCGGTTGACAGCTGCACCGACCATCTTTGATTTCGAGACATCCGTGAGATCTGAACCTTCGGGGCTTTTCGAAACGGCTTGGGGTTTGAGGTCGAATTGTTAGCGGTTTGCTGCTTGGGGTTTTAAGTTTTCGGGTTTAAGGGCTAAGCGTTTATGTTAAGGTTGGGGTTTAGAGCTCCAAGATTGAGAGGAAAACCAGGTTTGAAAATTCAGGGTGTCCTCTTCAGGGTATTGATGATCATCTACGGAAAACCCTACTGTTCACCGGGGGTCCGTGATTTCCCTCAAAAACCTAAGTGTGATGAAGCTGCACACAGATTGCTGAGTCCCTAGCGTTAAACCGATGCGCAAGATCCAAATCCTTCGCAATCGCTCGGTTTCTGCGACATTGCATGTAACCGCAGCAAGCCTTTTTCAAAGCTGCAACTCCTGTCACCTGTCCTCTCTCGAGCACATCTAAATTACATGCTAAGAAGCTAGTACCCTAAACACTGACACCAACGACGCCCATCCCAAGTAGCTAGTAGAGAGACAGTCTCGGGCTCGTAAGCTAAGGCCGTTGGGAGTACGGCTTGGTGAAGTCTGCGTAGGGTTAACGGTTTTGGGGTTCAGGATTTAGGGTTGAGGGGTTTCGGTGTTTAGTTTAGGGTTCAGTCTGCTTGTATCCTCCATTGCAGCACCGGAAATCCGACACCCCAAGCCTCTAGACTCTTGAAACGAGCTTCTCAGTAGCGACTTAGTTTCAAGCAGCAGCACGCAATCACCATCCTCCTGTCCCTCCTCCTTACCGCCAACATGGCAAGACCCCGAATCCCAGAGACCGAATTCGTAAATGCGAAAAGTCTAGAGTCTAGAAGCTATCATCATCATCGTCCACGTCGTCGAGAGGAGGTTTTCCCCATTATGATCATGCTCCCTGTCAGCTTCGCCCTCTTCCTGCTGCTTACCTTTTGACACACCATGGTTCATTCCCCTTTTCACCATCATATTTCGCTGTAAGAAAAATACCATGCCCATTCGTTTTGATATTGTCATGGCTCACGACATTATCTGTTGCTTGATCATGGTGACGTCCAATACTGCTCCCGCTCATTACCACTGTCATAGTATTCGTTGCAGCATTTTAGCAGCAGCCCCATTGTCGGGTGTGCTGGAAGTTGCTCAATTTCAAGTTAGCAGCATCGTGCAGAGGACGGATTTGTGAAGTGTCGTCCGAAGAAGGGCCCCGCGGCAGATCTCACAAAGCATAGCAGCGACACAAGAAGCGCGGCGGAGAAGCTTTGAGCAGGTTCTGCTTTTCGAGAATTGGATCGAGATCTCATCTTTACGGTGCAGGGCATTGGGTTCAGGGTTTGAGGTGTTAATGTGCAGGGTGTAGTGCAACATATAAGTTTGAAAGGTTGTTCGACGGCCATATCCAATTCCTAAAATCCGAACCCCCTAAGCCCAAAGATGTTCTTGGTTGAGCCTCTGCAGAAGTGGCAACCCTACAAGATCTAGGAGCCTTGATAATCAGAGCAGGGGTTTTGGGCCGGGTAGGTTATAGTATATTAAGAATGAACCCTGAGAATGACATTGGTAATTACTCTGCCTTCTAAATGGAGCTCCTGACCACTAAATTGGGATACGTGACAGCTGCAGCTGCTGCTTCGAGCTTGGACATCCGAACGGCAGCATTTGGAGAGCTTTCTTATGGAACTGTTGGCCTCAGGCAGGGTGCTGTCCTGCAGGATGTTTGGTGCATCGCATTTCAAAGCGTAGTGTTAGAACGCAGCATCTTCACTAATGGCCAACGTGATTCCTGCAGCAAATGTAACTGCGGAAACTGCAAGCCATGGTGGCCTAGGTGATCGTTTACACTGACGTGTACACAAATCTTCCAAGATCATATAATATGCAGATACACGGACAGGATCCAGAAAAAGCTGAGGATATGCCAAAGCTTACATATCCTTCCTTATGAGTACGTTTTCGGTTCTCTGGGTAGGGCCAGCCAGATCTCAGTTTCATTTCGAAATGTTATGGTATAGTCCAAGGGATATTAGTTGTCGGCATGCGAGGCCTATGATATAAAAATTGTATGTACCCCTAGTTTGAAAATACCTGTGTGGGCTTCGGTTCTCATTTGTCCAAGACCGCCGTCATGCTGCCAAGAACCGACATGCATGGTCCTGAAGTCTGAACTCTTACACCCTGAACCTCCTGTGGGGTTCATACATATTCATACCGAACCAGCATTTAGCCTCGAGTCAAAACTTGATCCCACCACAGATCATGACACGATCTGGGTCAGAACTTGATTTCCAGGGAATCCTTAGCCTTGTTCTCCGGTTTGCCTGCACGCTTCAATCTAAAACTTGAAAGGGTTTAGCGTATAAAGTTGGGTCGAGTATAGGGGCCTGAACCGTTAGTTGTTACATTATTCTCGGTACAACTCTAAACAGCTGCCTACAAAATGCCGCAAAGCCTTAGTGTAATTCCATTTAGCCTTCTGTGTTAGGCAAGGACCCAGAGGCCGTGTTGTTGCATCGTTTTGTGCCGGGCGGTGCCGGTGCCTAAAAGAGCCCCTCACGATTGAACCACAACCCTAACGCCTAAATCTGAAATCCCGAAATGCTCATAAACCCGATGGTGAACGCGGAATTCTTGGAACTTTTACAAGTCAAAAGGCACCCTGTTGTTTAGACCACCTTGCGAACCGTTGCACGTTTGCGGCGTTTTTTTTTGTTTTCTCCTCGATCGATTTCTGCCTCGCAACGGCGAAAACTCTAACTGCGTTTGCCCCAGTTTGCCATTCGCCTCGTTTTCTTGCCTTTGCTGCCCTTTATACCTTGCGTCCTTAAAGGGCCCACTTCCCTGAGCAGTTCCTCTCGGGACGAGCTGTGGTTTTCTCATAGCGGCATGTTTCAAACTGTGTTTTCAGAAAAGGTTTTTTGGGCCGGTTTTGGGTTTCCCATGACGTCTGGTTCCAGGAATGTGCTTGGATTGCGTCGCACGGCTCACGATTGGTGCAGGCAGGCCTGTACAGTCTGTGGTCCATTTCATTTTCCCTCTGTTCCAAAGCCGTGCATTCGCCACCTACTGACAATCGTTGTGAGATTCCAGCCCTACTGCATTTCAACTCCGAGCAGGGGCTGCCATGGTCTGTGTTGTCTTCTACGGAACAACAGTCATACGTGCTCAAAAACATGCCAGTTTTGATGCTACAGAGATCGCATCATCGTGATGACGCTTTCCGTTTGTTCACGACATGCCGATGTGGATCCACCCCATTTCTCATCTATGCATCGCGCACACTTGCAGGATCTGAACATGTCCAAATTTCTTTCAGGGTCCACGATAATGAAAAATGCCGATGTTGGAAATTTAGCACATTATACTGTACTACTACTGTAGGATCAGGCTTTTGGTTTCACAGTTTCTGGTGATCACTGTAAGCCCTGAGCGACCTTAAAGTAAAACTAAACCATAACCCAAAGACCATCACCCCCGAACCGTAAACTTGGCTATAAACCCTTTAGGAGCGATGTGTTTGTGTTGCGAGTGACGGATCCATTCCTTCTTTGCGGTAACGCCTGCATTCTGACCTTCACGTGCTTGTCCCTATCTCGAGTTGTCGGTTTTTTGTGTCTTCCGATTAGTTGATCCGCAGATGTGTTCTACTCTTGCGCTTTGGAACACATTTCCCGGCACGGTAAAAAATGTGCTCAGCGAAACACCATTTCAAGCAAAATGACATAGACACATATTCCGGGATATACCCTTGAAGAAGCAGTATGGGTTTGTGGCACGGGTAGCAGCTAAAGTCTCGGTATACCCTTTGTTCACCATGATGTTGGGTATTGGTGCTGTGTCTGCATGCTCGCTTTCCAGTATTGCTTTTTCACCTTTTGTTTCCACCAATACAGTCTTGTTTGAGAGTGGACGCAAACGTTGTCTGTACTTGACCTTCCAAACGAGACTGCAAAAACGTGCATCGCCACACAGAGTAGTTCAGATTCCACAAACCTGGCTTTTGTGTTAGTTAAACAGGAGCTATACACACGGACAGCTACAGGGCTGCTCAGGGTTTTAATAGTTTAAAAGTCGTTACTGTAAGGATTAATGAATGGTTCTACAGAACCGGCAGCCCCACAAGGTGGTGAGATCATAGTGGAGTAGACTGGTGGCTACGTAGTCTCCTTAAGGAGGTGCACAGGGAGTATCACCAGTACGATTTACGTTCAAAGGTCTGCTTCTTCTGCGCCTGATTCTCTTTGCCACCATCTGATCGTTCTGCCGTGCATCTTGCTCTGCTGGGTCGCAACCTTGAACCCCACTCCCGCGCGCCACGACACAAAATGTGATTTCGAAGGTAATGCAGCACTGGGTCTGCATGACTCCTGAAATCAGCAACCCTCAGCCATAATTCCTGAACCATGCAGCTCCTCCACCAGATTGGGGAATGAAGGCATTGTGTCATGAGCCAGGCACCTCCGGCTGTTTCATGACTTCGTAGTCACTTGGGCGACCAAGTCTTCTGATCTAGGGCCTAAATATTTGGTGTTGCCTATATTATAGATAGCAAATATACCCCAACGCCCTATTCTAATTGTGACACTATAGTTGTTAAGGCTCCCGTATTACAGGCCTTCAGTCTTGGTTTGGGACCCCCGGTGTGGCGTAGCTCGGGGTCTAGATTGCACATGTTCCCAATTTAC